GGAAAAAAAAATCCTCAAACCAGATTTCTGTGTACTTTCCCTTGTGCTTAGCACATAACATCTTCTGTAAAACATCATCTGCTACTCCTATGATTCAGCTTTGCGCAGCTCGAAATCCAATTACTGCATCATGCTCAGCCTGCACAGCCCTGAGCCATCCCCGCTGCCCCTCCTCTCCGCAGCGATGAATTCCACCCAGTTCATTCACTCATGGTTCAGCTCCTTACCATGGAGACCCGGGGAGATAATCTGTGGCAGGAGCACAAGGGAATTGAAGAAGGAATGATGGTGGGGATGAAAAGACAGGATGCAAATGAAAACTCAGGAGCACTGGCTAACCACAGGAAAAACATTTCCTCTTCATAGAATCACAAAGTACAGAAGTTCTTCCTCATGTTCAGATGGAACTTCCTGAGTTTCAGTGTGTGCCTGTTGCCCCTTAACCTGTTGCTGGGCACCACTGAAAAAAGTCTGACTCCATCTTCTTGACACCCACCCTTAAGGTATTTAAAAGCATTGATGAGATCCCCTCTCAGTCTTCTATTCTCCAGGCTCAACAGACCCATCTCTCTCAGCCTTTCCTCATAAGGGAGATGCTCCAGTCCCCTCATCATCTTCATTGCCCTCCGCTGGGCTCTCTCCAGTAGTTCCTTGTCTCTCTTGAACTGGGGAGCCCAGAACTGGACACAGGACTCCAGATGTGGCCTCACCAGGGCAGAGTAAAGGTGGAGGAGAACCTCCCTTGACCTGCTGACCACACTCGTCCCAATGCACCCCAAGGTATCATTGGCCTTCTTGGCCATGAGGGCACATTGCTGGCTTACTGTCAACTTGTTGTTCACCAGCACTCCCAGGTCCTTCTCCGCTGGGCTGCTGTCCAGCAGTTCAGCCTCCCACCTGTACAACCCCTAGCCCCTAGCCTGATTCTTCTATCAAAAATCTCTACTTCTTATGTCAGGAAGCAGCAATGGCAATGGAGAAAACATAAAAGGTGGTAGCATCTATACTAGCATTTTATAGTTTGGTTTGTGGAGTTTCGGTTCTCTGCTTTTCAAAATGATATTTTCTTCCTCCTTCCTTTGGAACAGGTGAAACTGAAAGGTCTGTTCCAGCTATACACCAGATTCGTTCCCATCCCTCCTGAAGACATAAGGGTCTGAACTGGTCCTGCAGGCAACTCTAAGCCACAGACATGGCAGGATGCTGGACTAAACCTTGTCTAGTAAACTCCCTGATCTTCCTAAGTGTAGGAACTCATCTTTTTATGTACACAGACCCAATAAAAGCTTCAGATGCACTGGTCACTCATTCTAGCATTAGGAGTTCAACAAAAATGGTTTCCTGAGTCCAAAAGAGTCACTCATAACAGAGTAAGAGAACAGGAGGTTATACCCACATGACTTCGTTTCACTTTCCAGGGAACAAAAGCTCCTGCTTTTGTTTGATCTAAAGCGAGATTGAACATGATAAATATTTGAGATATGGATTAAGTCCTCTACTGAATACTGAAATACTTCTAGCATTGGCTGAAAACAAACTATACACTTTAGAATACGCTTACTGGTGGCAGTAAGAAAATTTCCTTGTGGAAAGCAATTGTTAAATGCAAACATGCAAATAAGCTGCAGCATTTTCGAGCTTTCTGATCCCTCAAAAAGCATATAGTTGGTGTTAATTTTTGTGATTTAAAAACATCATACATGAGTAAAGACGAAAAAGGAACAGAATTGAGTGGAGTAGACATGAAAGGTTTACTCAGGTTTCAAACTGGTCTGTTGGGCCACCAGTACCTCGGAGTGCCCTCTAGCTCACGCAAGTTCTAGGCTAAACAACTCTTTTGAAGACTTGTAAAAAGGAAAGTTACTTTATACTGAATTTTATTTACTGAATTTTATAATTTATACTGAATTTATACTGAATAAGTCAACAACTTAGAGGGAAAAAAACCCTTACAAATACCCACTACATGCACAATATCTGATTTAAGGAGAGCACATCACCAAACTACAGAGCTTAACCTCAAGGTCCCTCTGAAAGCATTTACCAGTGATAAAGCCATAAAAAACACAGAGAACCGTATAATTTTCCTGATATCATCAATCTGTACCATGTGTTTTATAAAAGAAGTACTGACAAGTGATTATTTCATGGCTCAGCTTCAACAAAAGAAGAGAGTACACATGAAAATTCGATCAAATACATTTAATTCCCAGAGTCATTGTGTCAAAACACAAATGCACATCTGAATTTCTTAAATATTATTAAGGTATCTCATGTAAAACACAAACTACAATTCAGCATTTTTGTTTCTAAGACACCACAACCACCATAAATGAAGCCATATATTGTCTTACCTGATAAAAGTAATATAAGGAATACAGCAAAGAAGTCAGGATACTCTGCTAGTCCAGAGTAATTAATTTTGAAGTAGGTTCTGAAGAAATGACCAATCTGTTTTCCAAGAAGTTCATCAAAAGTGCCACTCCAGGCTCTTGCTACACTTGATGTACCTTCATAAAATACATGCATGTTTAGAGTTTTGCATACGTGCAATGGGATACAGTTACTTCTACAGAAAAAGAAAAAAAACTAAGCATGTTGCTACTTGCATTTAAAAAAGCAGAGCTTGTGCTAAACCAGTGATTTTGTTTTGCTGAGGAATTTTAACCTTTTAGAGTTTTTCTACATAGTTAAATGGCAACATATTATTCTACAACTAAAATACACAAATTTATTCCCAAAAACATTGCAGAAATTATTTCTGCATCATTTATATCTGATGTCATTCTGGAAGACACTTATTTCTAAAGTTACAATATGGCATACGTTAAATAATATAAAGCAATGTAAGAAAGCAGTTTAAGAAAGAACATGAAAGAAAATTTGTCCACCTGGAAGTAAAGCAAAAAGTCACTAGCAAGATGTATATTGCTAGAGTTAGTATTTAAGATTAATACTCTCCTCTGGTAAAGAGTCCACGTGGCCACGGCTAAATACAACCTTATTTTCACAACTCTCCTATCATGAAATACGCTTCAATATAATACTCGGGCATACTGATTTTGTAGTGATTTGGGCAACAGTCTTGTAGTTAGGTACACGTATACAGCTAAGTGTGCTTATACACAATATAATGGATGTTTGGAACACGTACCTCTGGAGGAAAAGATTTTTGAATCAAAAAATGTTGTCTCTGCTGAAGCACTGAAATATTAATTTGAATATCTGCCATATAGGCATTGATTTTATTCAGATCTGGTCAACTTTGTATTTTATGGGATTACTTGATAGGACACTATTTAATTAGAATGAGGCTATAGTAACAAGTTAGTACGTAAACATCATGACTTTCTTGAAGTGAGATACTATAGTGATGGAGTCACTGTAAACGTCCTTGCTGTGAATATTCAGGGCAAAAAAAGCATATTGATTTTACTGAAGTCATTCTTGCTGAGCAAAGACAGCAATGAAATCCTGATTATTCTTGTGCATCATCACTGAACTGTCTGACACAATTTCCATACAAGGTATGCAGTTCATGCTGCAGAAGACACACTGTTTACAAAAGCATCTTGCAAAAAATCTGGGTTTTGATGCACAGGAGGAAATAACCTAATCAGATTACTTTGGTTATTTCACCTCAGCAGAAGTAAAAAGTAAGAGTAGTTACATATGGAGACAGGAAAGAAAGACCCAAATCTGTCTCTTACATTGGCTGCCTTAAAAACCCTTGAGACCTGTGTTTGTTCTTAAGCTTACCTATAATATAGGATAAAATGAGATTCCAACCAGTGATAAAAGCCCACAGTTCACCGACAGTTACGTAAGTATACAAGTACGCAGAACCAGTCTTGGGAACACGAGCGCCAAACTCAGCGTAGCAGAGACCTGCCATCACAGATGCCAGAGCAGCAATGAGGAAAGAAACAACGATGCTAGGTCCAGAATCAGATTTGGCTACTTCTCCAGCAAGGACATAAACACCAGCACCAAGGGTACTCCCTACTCCCAGGGCTATAAGGTCCACTGTCGATAAGCATCGGCACAACTTGGAGTCCTCCAGACTTTCACCACTGACGTTCTTCTTCCGCACCAGGCACCGAACAAAGGACAAAGCTGGTCCACAGGGCAACATGGTGGAAGTAGAGCTCTGAAATAAAAGAAATCATTACAGTACATAAAAGGTAGCATAGACACTGGTGAAAAACAATAAAAAATGTATTTGCATAAAGAACTTTAATCACACCTACTAATTAATATCTTTACGCTCTTCTGTGACACTAAATAAGCTGACGCGTGCTTTTTCCCCGGGGAACAAATTAGGGATCCAGTATTCCTAATTTTATATTTAGCACTGATTTCCCCAGGGAAAGATATCCATTATCTTTAGGTTTACTACACTGCTGTAAAAAAGAAGAAATTGTTTCTATTTACCTGCTAATGGCCACTTCTTAACCACACTAAACCAGAACCAGAACAGAGGTCTATCATCTCATATATCATAAGGACTTCTAAGATAAGGATCAACACCAACATAAATAAGGATTTTTAAGATCTAAAACTCCAACACTAAGGCTGTAAACAGCAAAAGCTTTAAAATATGGCATTCTGACAGAGCCAATGCAACCTCCTTTTGCCTTCAAATACATAGCTTTTGCCTTTACAATTTGCTTCAGTAAAAACTGCTTGAAAGGAGATTAAAATAGTGTTTCTACTCCCTCCCACACCAATGAAGTTTGCCAGAACTAATTATCTTTACCTGAAATCTCGTACAACTCTCCCTGACAATCATCTAACAAAACCTGATGGGATAACTGCTCGTCTCATGCCAATTGCAATTCTCCAATATTCTAAGCACATGTCGCAGTGTGGGGTGAAATCAGCTCTTGCACACAAGCTCAGATTTTGTGGTCCCGGAGGGCAGCAGGTGGGCAGCGCTTCTCTGGCCTCTGATACAGATGCCTGCTAGGGGGAACAGCAGTCAGCCTGCTTCCCAGCTCAAAAAAATGATAGCTGAGGGTCCAAAGCATTTGCTTGGCAGGCAGGACATGGGCATCCCATAGAAAAGAATATCTCAAAGAAGCAGCGTTAATGTGTAAGTTCTGTCTTTCTTTATGTGTTTGTTTGAATTGTATTGTTGATGACTAAGAGTTTGCTAAGAATTAAGTGGTACCATCTGCCATCTCCCCAAACTGTTGTTTCTCTTTACAACTCATACCAGAAATATCTATATTCTGCTCATGATTTGTTAAAGTGGAACCCTCCTGGGAACTGAGAATCTTTTCCATTTAGATGAAGATATTCTGCTGATACCAGTCGGTATCAGTTCCCTAGACCAGTAAAGGGCATTCCTACTCACAATACTTCAATCTGCTAACAGCAGTGACTTTGCATCAAGATGGATAGCTCACTTAACAGTGTTTGATCCTAGAACAAAGAGTCAGAAGCAAAAGAACTTCCATCCTGATATGAGACTGCTTGAAAAAAATCCCCTTGGCTATGAAAAAGAGAGATGTCTGTGCAGAAACTTTTTCTCCCTATTCCTGTAATAGCTTCCCAAGTACACTCAGACATGGCACTTCTATCTTCAGAAAGCATTCTTTAAAAAAAAAGGTCTCCATTCCCTTTCAAGGAAAGGGAAGTTGATATAGGATAGTGAATTGAATAGTTGATATAGAATAGTGACTGTTCAGTAGCTCCTGGACTCTTCAATAAGAGCAGCCTTTCTCTGGGTCCACTCCCCCAAAGCCAGGTTTGTCCATCCTGGGCTGTACTTTGACAAGTATTCCCAAGGCCACTATGTTTTTTTCCATGATGACACTTCTGAACCTGTAGCAATCACTCGGGATATTATATTAATATACTCATTAGGCTGTAGCCCATGGTGACAGGCAGCAATGCTCTTGTGACCACGCCCTTCACCTTAGCAATTTCAGTGTTGCAGAAACATGGCATTTTTTTAAGGAATTATTTCCCCCAGCCTGCAAATGATAGTTCATTTGGTATTTCATTAACAAGAAAAACTACTCTGGCAGATGTTCTCAGAACACTAAACAGTTTCTAAGACTTTTGTTACTCAAAAGGCATCTCAGATTGCTCCTTTGCAATTTGGGACAAGAAGTCCTGAATGTTGTAAAGTTGTCTGTCGCAGTGGCCAGGTGGGTGATATTATATTTTTTTCTGCTCAGAAAGAAATTGTTGTGACAGAATAGGAGTTTTTTTTCTGCTTCTCCTTTCTCTGGTTCTTGTGGAAAGGACAGGAGGATGGATCTTGGTAGCCACAAGCCGGTAAGATGAAACACCTGTTCTGACTCAAACCCACCCTTTCTTCTTTAGCCTTTAAAAACTGGAGCACAACCAAATACAAAGTTCAAGATACAAAATTTGTGTCTGTAGGAAAAAAAAAATAATGTCATACACATGAGAAACCTATCTTTTTAGGTGTATCCATCCTAATATGGCCTTGATGAATACACATCCTTTTACAATGACCACTGCAGTCCAGAATGTCTTACACTGTTTCCTATATTTACTATGCACATATGCAAAATAAACAACGTCTGAACACTGCTTCACAACTTCTGTTGCTGTGTACCAAGTGCAGCGTTGTACCTCAGACATGGCCCCCTTTCAGGTTTGACCAAGACATCCCAAGACTCCGGTACTGATCACTTCATACCTGATAGGAAGGTGCAATAGGAAGAACTGATGAGCTTATGAGGATATTTGGCCTCCACACAGGACCAAATGACATAGGTAAGTGGTGACAAAGTGTCTTCAGAAATCACTGACAAGTGTAACCTTTTTCTGAGGTGTCCCTTTTAAGAGATCCTTTTAATGCATTACCCACTGCAAGAGGACAGCCTGGGCTCTGACGAAGCGCTGACGTGTGCTGACTCACAAGCACAGTGTATCATAACACCTCTCACTCTCAAATATTAACCTACAGAAGAAAAGAAGGTAACAGCTGGGTGTGCCTTTTGGTGGCAGCATTGTCCTAGATAAGCTTACACTGACTGCAACCTCACCTTCTTAGAAAGGGTCTTATTCCTGCCGCCAGCATGACTGGGCAAATCTCATGGTTTCCTTTTCTGTTGATCTTTAAGACAGAGAGGAAGATGAAGTAGGGTAAGTGAACATGGAAAAAAAATATCTCTCCTACTTTTTGACCAGCAGGTCTCAGTATTTTCCTAACTGCTCTTTTTCTACTTCCTCCTTTCCCCGCTGCAGTCTAAGCCTGCCTCGTCCTAGTAGACCATCACAGCCCTTGCTTCCTCTTCGCCTCCGCTGCCCTGAGCTCCACCAGCACTGGCCCAGGCCACAGCTGATGAGCACTGCCTCTTCTCTGAGCCCTCCTGGGGAGGCACATTGACAGCTTGGGAAATGGGGGTTTTGGTAATAGATTGGGTAATCAATCAAGAATGAAGGGAGCTCTCTTAATGTGCTGCTCCTGACAGAGCTCACAGTGCTTCTGAGGCATCTCTGAGGCACCTGTCCTATGATTCTTAGAGCAGACTTGGATACCTGCCTGCCTATCAACAACAGCATCAGGCATGTAGCCTGAAAATGTGATCAGTCAGGGTGAGCTGAGTTGTTCATGCAGTCTAAACAGAGTAAAGATTGAATCCTGAGCTTATACAGAGTTTAAGCATAGGAAATCAGTGATAAGAAACCAAAAAGGAAAATGCCCTTGCACTCACCAACAGCATGCAGTTATTTCTAATCAAGGTGAGGAGCTGACCCAACCTGTTGCTTCTCCCATGGATTCAAACCTGTGCTAGGCTCCACTTCGGTGAAGTCTACTTTACAAAGACATTTGTCACAAGCAAACACCTGTGAAGTCTATTTGTCACTGACCTTGGCACGTTCCTTTTGCTGCGTACAACTGAGGTGGCAGCGCTCTGGCTCTGCACGCGCTGCGTCACCACACTTCTGAAGTCTCTTTTGGACTAAGTTTTTCTTTAGCTACAGATTACTGCATAACATGGAATACATCTCCAACAGTCCTCCAAAAAAGTGAGGCCCAGTTCAAATGTCTTAGACTTGAGGACCAATGTTCAGCCCATATTCAAGCCTCCCCCATCCTTGAATGCATTCCTAGAAAGAACCGCAATGCCATCCACATTGCAGTTCACAGTTTTACCCCTTCAGCCGCATGCAACAAAGAGACAGGGAGGACAGGAGGACCTAATTTAGACAGAAAAGGAATTGGACAGATCTATCTAACACAGGGGGGAAAAACCCCCAAAGCTTCCTCATGTCTAATGGCCATTCATGGTATTTGTCAGAGTACCTGAATAAGTACAGACACTTCTCCAATCCCTTTTGTTCTTTATTGTCTTGGGTTTTTTTCTCTACAGTAGCTGCTGATAGACCCTTCTTAATTTCAGTCTTTCCTGGCTAGTTGTAAACCACATCATTTACTGCTTGACCACCACGCATCTGAATGGTAATCCAAGAAGATGAGTTCAGCCTTATAATTCATACCAGCTCTTCCACTCAGATGGAAGATCAGGAACATTTAGTGGTTGTCTATTGTTAGCCCTCTTCTAGCAGGAAAAGTTTGGTGTCAAAAAACTTATAACTATAAACACAATGCAAGGGACAAAGTCTCCATCTGCAAAGTTTGTATTCGTCTTTAAAATTGCTTTGACTGCTTCACAGTCATGTAAAATCTACCTTTTTTGCAAAGTATTTTCCATGTTAAAATAACCTAACAGCCTCCCAGTCCAAAACAGAACACAAACAATAGGTGAATATTGGAGAAAAAAAAAGTAACATATCATATATCATCACACCCTTCCATTAAAATAACATTTTAATTTAATTATGTATAATAAGTGGTTTAAGTTAGTACACATCAAACCCAAGCTACAGGGGGGAAACCCCAAAGTTTTGCTAGAGTTGCCATTCAACTCTTCCTACAAAATTTTCTGTTAATAAAAAATATAAAAATCTCATCTGGAAAGCAACTGTTATAAAGCAATATAAAACCTCAGAAAGTTTTAATACTGTTATTGAGATATATATTTAAAGATCCCTGAAGCAAAAGTAACTCAAAGATATTTTATTTACAAACTATTTTGTTGAGCTAATATTATGTACTATAATATACTATAAATTTTAGGTCCAGTACTTTAACATTTTAAACAACATATCAATTAGGGAGAAAATACTCCAATACGTTTGTAACATATTGAAAATGGGAAAATATAAATATATACTGATGATATACAGATTATTTTAGAGTCTTCCTTCAGCCTCATTTTTCTCAAAAATCTTTAAAAGCTTATATTTTGCACTTTCCATCTGTAGAACTTATGAGAAAATTTTTGTTTGCTCTTAGGTACATTTAGCCTTATTCTAAATTGCAGTATTGCATTGATTAGATCTAGTGCAATAATATATGAAAGTAAAAGAATTCAGAGATGAAGCAAAACTAGGTATAATCTATGATTTGTGTGTGTGTGGACACACATGCACAGACAATACATGATTTTACTGCAAGTGTCCTAAAGACTGATGTTGTGCTCAAGACTAATGCCTTGGAATATTTAAAGTACTGTATTTGAATAATACTTAAAGCCCTAAAATTGGAAAGCAGCACCTGTAACAGTCTAATATGTATAAAACAGAAAAGGAAAGCTTTATCATCCAAAAGCAGAAACACCTTCCAGTCCGACTACGAAGAAGAACATAAATTCCATCTTCTATATATTAACACTGTAATTCGCCCTTTGTCAGAGACACAAGAATGCTGTAATGTAAACTAAATGTAATACTGCATACCACAGCTCTTGCTACTCAGAAAGTACGTATGTTGAAGGCAAAGTTTCCTATGATAACCTACGTTGCTTTCAGGTTACTTCTTGCAGCAGTAAACTTCATTACAAACCTGATTCAGAGCAACTTCTGCAGTGCAAACTTCTGCTCCTCTTGGCCAGTCCTGAACTTCTGCCGTCTTAAATGGAAGAGTAATGACTGAAAGTGATTTTATTAAAATATTTGCTTTACAAGCCAGCTGTAGTTGGTGTGAGCTGTCGGTGCAGAGGGGTGGAGGCTCGGCAGCCTGGGTGATTGGAGGGCTGCAAGCTGGCCTGCTATTTGCCCAGCTAAGGCAGGGAGGGAGAGAGAGGAAGTCTTGCTACTGTTTCAGATCAATCATATCCACTGTCTTCACGACACAAAATCCAACCGCAATTTTGTTTCCTACATTTAAATACACCTATGTGCTTACATACAAAATGCATAGTGTAGTGAGGGTACCCACCACACACCCGCCAGAGACTCCTTTTACACATCCTGAAGGAAAAGCAAAAATGTGGATGGCAAACTTGGTCTCCAACTGTGAAAGCAAAGTCTTCCCACTGTCCTTGTAAAAAGTAAACTGGCTTTGAAGCATATTGAAGGATATTTTGCAACGCTTTGAGACCTTAATGCAATAGTGTAGCATGAAAACTCCTTTTGCTGAGTAAATTTTAGAGGAACAAAAATAATTTGAAAAGTATTGCTGTGGCTAGAAACAGCACAGAAGACAGTATATTTACAGTCTGGTTAGAGCCCATTCTATTGAACTGGGGTAGATGCACCATATATCTTATTCTCCTTTATATGGCTTGAAATGTAAAAATGCTGAAGACTGGAATTACAACCATCCAAATATTCCTGTGACACAACCAATAAATAACCCTCAGTTTCTTAAAAATTAGCTTCCAGAATAAACCAAATCCCAATGGATAATACACAGCTTTATTTTTATTACTTCCAACGGCAGACAACCCCACCCCAAACATGTAGTAGCATTTCCAGTCAACACCATTCACAGCATATTGTTTCCCTTAAAACACTTGTTTTTCAATATCTATCTCACTCTGTTCAGAGAACCCTGAAAATATGAACCTTGCAAAGAAAAGCTCTATGCTTCCCATCATTAAAAAGTCTTTGCTAAGAAAATACGGGAAAAAAAACATGTAGTGTGGCAGGCTCCTGCAACTTGCTCTCAGCTTTTAGTTTTCCCTCGAGTGTATAGTGCTGCAGGAGCACAAAAGGCTCCTTTCCTTACTTCATAAAAAGTCCTGCTTCCCATGGCCACACGCACGGGACGAAGACAACCTTTCCTCAGCTCTCCCAGATCCAAGGAGAAATGCCTCCAAGAAAAGGAGGCTCCACGGGGGTGGGCCGTATTTGAAGACCAGTAGTCCAGATGCCATTTCTTACATTATCCAAGGCTATTCTTTTCTTAAAGTGCAAAAAGGCGTGAAAGGGTCTTGTTCATTGAAGCTCCAGTGATAACAATACTCATTCTTCCCATCGTGCTGACCTCATCCTTGTTAAATACAAACTTTATCTCTTTCGCAGTTAATACTCAGTCAGAAGACAGACACAAGAAGTTATGCTACAGATGCAAGCTGCTAAACAGGTTAGGTTTCTTGTGTGGAAATATATGGATATTACTTTTAAGGAGCATCACTCTCAACCATGACAACATGTAAGCATTTTTTTTCCCAAATCATCACTCTCTAGCAAGCCCATGAATGACCTGAGAATTACTCATGTAGATTTTAGTTAACATCCTCAAGACCTGTTCTGAATCATTTCCAACCACGCAGATACCCTAGGAATTGTTGCTCATGCATAAATTAAGTGATTTATTGTTTAATCATGGAAAACATCCCTTCCACTTTAAAAAAAAAAAAAAAAAGCAGAAGCTGTAATTGCTTCATAATCTGCTGAATACAGAGACTGCACTTCTACTTGACTTCTAAAAGTTAGCCTTCCTAAGGCATACCTTCCCCACAGTATCAGGGCGAGATATCCCCACAGAAAAGCTGAGTGTGAGGCTAGTCTGGCATTGGTTTTCATCGCTTTCTGGCAGACTCTGGCCAGGTTAACAATGATGCACTGTACTGGGCTGATCTATGAATTTATGTCACTCCGGGAGCTGGAACCACTGTCTGGGGTTATCACCATATGTACATAATTCCCAAGTGGCTTTACTGATTATTAATAAAAGACAGTTC